ATTTTGGGGTACTTACGTCTGCTGGAATTGGACTCTGCAAACGAGAGATCAATGTTTATTTAGAGATCGGGCAAAAGAAAAATGACCGTGCATTCAGAATGGGCTCATCAAAAAACCACTCAATAATAAAAACACGACTGCCGATTGATCACAATAGATCAATCGCATTATTTGCAGAGTTAGAATTAGGTGGTCCGGAAATTGGAAATATAGGAGAATATGTTTACGTGCGTGCCAGTGGCGAGATGTAATTTTTATTTAGCAAATATATATATATATATATATATGTGTGTGTGTGTGTGTGTGTGTGTGTGTGTGTGTGTGTGTGTGTCTGTGTGTGTCTGTGCGTGCGCGTATGTAATCACCCACATATACCTACAGGGTTATCTTATTCTCATCACTACTATCTATACGCTTAGGTGCATGTAAAAAGAACTGAGATTTGCATATATAAAGCACCCACTTTTTATAAATCATTTCACCCCAAGCAAGGCGTTAATGCCACTAAAATGTAAGGAGTTACTGGAAGTGGAAGAGAATGAGAATTATTTAGCAAGAAGAAAGGACAATAAAAGAACAGGAATAAGGAAGACGGCGATTGATGTTGCATTCAAATTTTTGAATTTATATATATATTTTGAACAATGAAAAATATTAAAAAATTAAAATCTTCAGACACACTGGGTTGTATATTAATATTCTTTCGTTTTTATTATTATTTCATTTCGATCCCTCTACTAGTTTCGGCCAAAATGGCCATCATCAGGAGAAGAAATATTTCTGTTTGCTGGTAGCAGTGAACTACAGAAATGAATATCTTGATGGAGAAAATGAACTTTTGTCTGTAGTTTTTATTTGTTTTTTTATTTTTTTAACATAAATTTTGGTTAGTCCTTGTGTTGGTCAAATAGTCTCTTTTAAGTTGTTATTTAAGATAAGAGCTGGATGGATTCATGCTGCTCTGAATTCCCTTGGTCATTTTGACAGTTTTATTGGTTCCTGGAAAGGCGATGTGTCTCTGTTAAGTGTGTGTGTTATTTGGTTCTTAGGGAGTGAGTGAGTATGATGTGTGTAAGCGTGTATATTACTATGGGTGTGTGTTATCATTTGGCTCATTAGGGAGTGAGTGAGTATGATGTGTGTAAGCGTTTATATTCATGTGGGTGTGGGTATAAGTGTGAAGCCTCAACACCTCCGTAAGCATGTTTGCCTTGTGTGGGTGAGAAATATGGGTAGGTCCTGATTTGTGGGGTTATATATTAATACTATCTAGATTGTTAAATTTGTGATTTAACCCGTCTGGATAGTGTTTTTAAACATTGTATATATATATATATATATATATATATATATATAGTCTTCCGTAGACAGACTGTTTCGCTGTATTACGGCTTACCAGTGTGGCTAGCCATCCGATTGATTGAAGCCGGGATCAAAACCCGGCCGATTTGGCATCAACCATCAACCAGAGATTCTATCCCCAAGCTATCGTCGCACGGTAGCGAAAGAGGGAAATTTTAACCTTTTTTCTCATAAGAAAGACGTCAGTGGCTAGGAGTGGTTTTAGAATTAGGATATATAATCCGGATAAAGTTTTTAAAATTTTTGACAATTGGAAAACGTTCATGAAAATAGATTTGTTTCGAAATATATCCGATAATGCATTTCGCCATTTAAGGCTTCCTCAGATCCGAAAGCTAAAACGAAAAGAATGAAATTCGTGTATATGTATTTGTGTATGGTCAAATAATGAAATCTTAATACTTTTATCCAAGCTGCCGTTTCTCATAAGTAAAAAAGAAAAAGAAAATGAGTGACTTTTATAAAAGATCGTTAACATTTATTTTCCTTTAGTTAGAGTCGAAAGATTTCTTCAGAATGGATAGAAAGTAAAAGATTTTTTTTATCTATACGTTTTCCCTGTCGACAATATGTTTTAAAATTAAGATATATAATATCCACAAAAATGCTTGGGAAAAAATCAAAGAAATCATTGGCCAAAACAGCTACACAAACCATAGTTACAGATGGAAACGCAGTAGTGTGTGGAGACGACCACACTCTACACACTGATCGAGAACCTTATAACTTAGTGTGCATGCGCGACAGTTCAAGGTCAATCTGTCCCAAGCGGGTTCACTCTGCGTACTTTAACACCGTCACGATAGCAACAATTCCGGTATTTTTTATTTGACATCGTATTTGAATTCATAATTTCTTTGTGTAAATCTATTTTCCTTATGGATCTGCATTATTTATTGGAAGTGATTCAAGTGACGGCGACCCAGTTACAAAACAGTTTTCATTTAACGCAACTTTATTAAGCACTTAGCAGCCAGCCATGCTCAGTTGGTCGATCAGAAAAACCGTTCAATTAAAATGGAGCAAAAACATCATCATGTTTAGATGTAACAGAGTCTATCTTCTTCAATTACTCTAAAGTACTTTCATTAAAAACATTTTGAATTAATGCAGTTACTGATATAACAGAAGTAGTCTGTATTTATTCAATTGAGGTTAACCGATGACATGAAGGGGTAAAACAGGTAACATGAAGACCCATTTCAGACCACAATTATTTTGGAGTTCTTGAAATTCAATTTGTCAGTGTACTACCAGGGATGTAAAAGAGGATGCATTTATAAAGCAATTGTTAAGTTTGTTGAAAATTGGTTGAAAGATCAACGAAAAATAAGAAAGAAACCTGTAAAAATCTCCATTTTTCGCTATTTACGCGAGTTTTGGATGAACTCAATCATCAAGTTAAATGAGTGTTAAACAATCAACATTGCTGGCTACAATTGAGTGAAGTTTGTATCAGATTGCTTGAAAATTGAGGGAGTTTTTAATTTAAAATTTGTGTTGAAATCAATCTGTGTTGAAATCGATTTCCGTTTTTCGCGGCTTTTCGCTAAACGCAGTGGCGTAGAAATATAAATGAGGTATCGTTGAGCTCGTCATGATATAAGTAACCTACATAAGAAGTTTGAACAAAATTAGAGTAAAAAGTTGAATTTATCGATTTTTTTTAAATTATCGATTTTTTTAAGATTATCGATTTTATTACGCTAAGAACCAATCTTTTACATTGTACAATGTATCTGCCACGTTTTGTTAAAATTGGTTCGATGGATCTCGAATAAAAAGGTATCACACAGACAGACAGACAGACAGACATCCTCTGTTTTATATATATAAAATTTAATAACTGACATTTCTCTCATTAGAGTTATATTTTAAGCATGAAATAAAGGCTCAAACTTGAGAATTTGCAAAGCATGACCAGGCTCAGCTAAAATTACTTAATGATTTTCTTCTATGTGCCGTGTCCCTTAAGAAAAAAAAATGTTCTTTGTCTTTTTTAAACTTTGTTCTGCCACACATTTACACAAGCTCGCTAGGTAGGTTATGTATTGTTTTCCTCTGTCCCTCATGCCTTCAATCTGTCCTGGGAGTATCAAATTTTCCAAACCCTCTCCCTTCATTATGTGGCCTAGTTATTTCAACTGTCTCTTTCTGATGTTAATTATAAGTGACCTTTTTGTTTCCATTTTCTCTAACACTTCGTCGTCGCTCACATTTTTGGTGTATGGAATTCTCAGCATCCTTCTGTATCCAGATTTCTGTTACTTCAAGTTTCTTCTTCATCTGTGAAATTCTTCTTTATTTCAGCTTTTCGCTGCCATATAGGTGTACTGACATTGCGTAAACCGTTCAGTACATTTTTGATAGTGCATTAAAAATAATGGAGAAACAGATTCTAAGTAGTTGCTAATCATTAATGTAAACTTTACCGATAGAATAAAGCGATTAAACGTATAATTATATTATTTTCGTTTCTGTTGTTCTTTCTTTCTTTTTTTTTTTTTTTAATACAGTTATTGTATGATTTTTCATGTCTTCTCTTGTCGCATTTCCCCAATAATAAATCTGTTGATTATTCGATTTTCAGAAATCCTTTCTTTTACGGATGGAGTTCTGTTTGTAAGCTTTCTACGTAAATTGAAGATATTACACTTTGTCTTTTTTTCACATGATTATTTTTCCTATTTTTTATCATTGTATGCATTACTTTCAACTGCTGTGTCCGCAGATTTGTTAAAAATGAAAGGTTCGAGCCTTACTTACCAGTGACCCGAAAAGGCAGCAACATCTTTGTCTTTGATTTACCATAGTAAATTTTTTACTAAAAAAACCCAAGACCAGAAATAAAAGAAAAAATGTTGGAAAACCAGAAGAAATAAATATTGAATAAAACAAAAATTAAGGAATGACGGTTACAGTTGAATTTTTGGATCAATGTCTTTAATCAAAAATACAAACATAAAAATGAAATAATAAAAGAAAAAAGAACAATAATAATAATAATAATAATAATAATAAATATTTATTATAAAAAGATTGATTTATTTATTTTACGACATATCAAATCCTTATGGGTCATTTAATACCGAAATTTAAATTTCTTGAGTGCTTTGAAGTAATAAAAATGTGATATATGTTATTCTGCTCTCACAGTTGAATACATGGTAGATGATACTCAGTTTTTGTGCATATACATATTTGTATAGTAATAACTACTAGAGGTGATAATATGTGTGTTTTATGTTGTAGTTTTGTTGAAGTTATATTTCGGAATACAGTTTAATTTATTTAAGAAATTGCCGGATATTATATGAATTAATGCCATGAAAACGTTCATTCATGTTAAAATATTTTGAACAATTTTATGGCTTCAACTAAATATATTTTATGCCTTCAAATACAGATACAATTTATTGCTGGTCATTTTACTTTAAAAATGTATTTTTATACTTTCATAGGGTTTTGTTTTTTGTTTGTGGGTTCAGTATTTGCCCATGACTGGGACCCTAACAGTTGATCCCACCCTGGGTTAAGGTGAACCTAAGAACTACATCAATTGAGTGGTAGTGTCACGCCCCCAACCCCGATCAGAGGCCTTGTTGACGGATGTAGTTTAACGCCACACCCAGAACTAATTATGAAAAGGAAAAAGAAAATAGAGAATGTGGTGAAAGAAAGAAAGAAAAGAATGTAAAGAAAGAAAGAAGGTAAAGAAAGAAAGTAAGAAAGAAAATAGAGAAAGTGGTGAAAGAAAGAAAGAAAGAAAGAAAGAAAAGAAAGAAAGAAAGAAAGAAAGAAAGAAGGTAAAGAAAAAGTAAGAAAGAAAATAGAGAAAGTGGTGAAAGAAAGAAAGAAAGAAAGAAAGAAAGAAAGAAAGAAAGAAAGAAAGAAGGTAAAGAAAAAAGTAAGAAAGAAAATAGAGAAAGTGGTGAAAGAAAGAAAGAAAGAAAGAAGGTAAAGAAAGAAAGAAAGAAAGAAAGAAAGAAAGAAAGAAAATAGAGAAAGTGGTGAAAGAAAGAAAGAAAGAAAGAAAGAAAGAAAGAAAGTAAAGAAAGAAAGAAAGAAAGAAAGAAAGAAAGAAAGAAAGAAAGAAAGAAAGAAAGAAAATAGAGAAAGTGGTAAAAGAAAGAAAGAAAGTAAGAAAGAAAATAGAGAAAGTGGTAAAAGAAAGAAAGAAAGAAAGAAAGAATGTAGCGAAAGAAAGAAGGTAAAGTAAGAAAGAAATTAGGGAAAATGGAGAAAGAAAGAAAGAAGGTAGCGGAAGAGGAGGTGAGGAAACGATAAAAAAAACAAAAATAAATCAAATGTGAAGGCCAAAAAAAAAAAAAAAGTCTGAGAGGAAACGAACAAATGTTAAGCACAATACCAAACGATAACGAGGAGTGGCACCAGAATGTGACGCACAGATAGAAATGGGGAAAAATCTTACCAATGTTCGTAGTTTTCTTCCATACTAAACTAACAATGAATGCATTCTTTTCACTTATTATTTATTTAATTTTTCTGTTTTTCTTTGCTTCTTTTTTGTCATTGTGCACATATACATACGCCCCCCATATATATATATATATATATATATATATATATATATATATATATATATATATATATATAGGTTTGTCTTATCGACAATGTTTCTACCAAGCTCACTTGAAACAGACATGGTGAGCAAATAGAGTCGCCATTATTACCCAATAAGCACGTCTTATATCGGCTTATTTAGCTTCTTTTTTTTCTGCCACAAAAACTGAAGTATGTTATCCTGGTACATTTCTAGTTCTTGGTCTGATATTTGAAAAATGGTTGTTAGTTTTATTAAATTTATTGATATTGGGTTTAGTCATGATAAGCGTCTCTATTTCATACACTCGCTAACACTCGCGCTCGCGCGCACGCGCGCGCGCGTGTGTGTGTGTGTGTGTGTGTGTGTTAATCCCTACCACACCCCACGAGTCCCGTAACACATTAGGGTCGTAGCGGCACCACATGTACTGCATCCATAACCCAAATGTTGTGTTCTTTTTTAAGGTAGCCTGACGGTGCTAAAATCAAGAAGTAACAGATTTCAAATAGTTGTTCCGTGCTAATATAAACCTTACAGATGGAAGTACAGTTATTCTATTATTTCGCATATTTTCTCTTGTCTAAATGGGTTAATAGCCGAACAGCCTTGGTTGGTAACCAGTTTAGGAGAAGGTAAAACTCTGAATTCAAACCAGCCTAGAGTGGTTTGGGCCCCTTTTAGGCTATCTTACGCAAGACATACCACTGATTCTGTGGTTGCATTACATGTGATACCGTAATGGGTTACTGGTATCATATATATAAACGTATACGTATATGTATGTGTGCTTGTCTGTGCGTGAGTGTATTTCCGTGCGTACTTGTCTTTGTATGTGTGTATTTTAGCATGTATGTGTTTTTGCGTTTACAATCTTTGGTATCTCTACGTGTACGCGTCTGTGCGTATGTGTTTAAGCATGTGTAAATAGGGATATGTATGTGCTTAATTGTATATGTGTTTATATGCGTGTGTGCGTGCGTGACAGTACGTGAATATGTGTTTACATTTACTCAAATGTCCATTTTTTTATTTGCCTGTAGCCAAACTCGCACTTGTTTGAAATGGAGAAGTTTTTATTTTCTTAAAATGTCTTGTCGCTTCAGGACGTAAAGGATCATGGCTCTCCACAGATTCCTTTCCTTTACTATTTATGTATTGCTATGCATTCTTTGGAAAGGTAGTAGAGTGGAATCCCGTTGCCTTCGCTATCGTTGTGAATTTAGAGCTTTTCTTTTAGATTGGTTGCCACCCAACGCTGGAGAGTTCAGTCTACCCTACTATTTTACCCATAACTTGGGGGGAAAAAGGACGGATTAACACCGTTCACAGGGGCATTTGTGTTAAATTAAATGCAACAGACTCTCTATCAATAAATAAAATCATTAAAACAAATGAATGATATTTTCACTTTTAAAAGTGATTTTTATCAATAAAAATTCAGATTCGTAGTGGAGATTTAGTTTGTCTGTTCTTAGAGGTTATTGAATCTGGTCCCTTTCAAAATATTTTCCTAAACAATCACAATTTTTTCAATATATTGGTCATGCTTTATTAATATATCCCCGCAAATCAACGTTACATGACCTTGTAGATAAACTAGACAACATCAAACGTATAATAGAATTTTCTTATGAAACAGAAACAAACTATACATCACCTTTCCTAAATATCATGTTAAAACATACTAATAATGACCTAAAACTTAGTGTCTATCGTAAATCTATCAATGAAAATGATCTCATAAATTTCTATTCTCACCATAGCAAAAAAATAAAACCCGGAATAATTATGAGATTCTATTGAAGATCACTTAGAATCTGTAGCCCTCAATATTTACATGTTGAGGATAAATGTACTGAAAATACATTTAAGCTCATTCAATATCCTAATTATTTCATATTTAATGCGAAACAAATAGCCCATCAATTTTTTAAAAGTAGAGGAATGAATTATATAAATAAACTTAATAAAACTACGCACATTATACTACTCTATTAAAACTACACTGCAAAACAATTTATCTGAACTTAACATGATATTTGTTACAACTACTTCCAAAACAATAAGAGATTTAATTAATACAAAACAAAATAATAACAATCAAAAACAGGAATTATAACAATCTGATACAGGAATTTATACTATCGTCTGTAATGAAGCCATAAAAATCCATAGAAGAGACTTCGGAGAATTTAATTAAAAGATTATATGAACACAAGAGATATTTTGCAGCAAAAAACACTCAGTTCATCATAATGAAGCTGACCATAATTTCGATTTAAAAATGCTGCTTTAATTAAAAGAGAAAAATAATTTACTAAGACGAAAATGTATAAAAAGTTCTCCGATTTCTAAATCTTTCACGGTAAATTTGTATCCAAATTCTGACAACGTTTCATCTTTTTTAACAAATCTTCTGTTGTTACGTGTGGGATAATAAAATCATCAGCGATAAAAAAAAAATTAAAAAAAAGCATTGGGAAACCGAAGGAGATCGCTTGAGATGTCATATCTAGACACACGTCGAAAGACAAAATTTAAAATATATCATTCCTACATTTCTTGCGTATTTTCTCAGTGCATAATCATGACTGACGTCTATCTTTAGATATATCCCCCTTCTATATATAATTCCATCAGAAAGAAGACTAGTCTTTTAGAGGATGAAACAAGTTAATTTTTTCCGCTTTGTCATTCAATTACCTAATGTGTGTGTGTGTGTGTGTGTGTGTGTGTGTGTGTGTGTGTGTGTGTGTGTGTGTGTGTGTGTGTGTGCAAATATATAGAAAAATAGGAAAGAACCAAAATTCCAAAATTCTCTTGAGGATGAAATAGAGCTGGGTTTTAGCTTCTGTTTTTGAAACATGAGAACTCTTATGTAGCGATGGAATCATATTTTTAAAACATAATTATATACATACATACATACATATATATATATATATATATATATATATATATATATATATATATATATATTGGAGGAATATAGAAATATATAAAGTTGGATGCTTACACATAGATAGATAGATAGATAGATAGATAGATAGATAGATAGATAGATGAACATACGCAACGTATTTATTTCCTATTGATATTGATTAATTTTACGGATTATCAACCCTTTAAACTGATGTTCTACACTACTTCGAGCAAAAGGAGCATAACAAAATGTTAGGAAAGAAACCCCCATCAATACGGAAAAGAGCGATGACGATTACTGAACTTGAGAAACCTATTTTCATGAAATTTAATAAATTAAAATAAATTGATACACACACACATATATATATATATATATATATATATATATATATATATATATATATATATATACATGATCAAATGTAGATCAGATATGTTCCGGAATCTGACGTTATGATAATATAAAAAGGAGTAGGAGGAGAAGGAGAAGAAGAGGAGGAGGAGAAGAATATATACTAGCAAAAACAATGGACGTGATTTTCTGAGATTAAGTACAACTGCTTTTCGGATCTAGAATCAATTATACTTTCTGACGAAGAAGCAAACACGTTAAGCGAGAAGGACTTAGAAAAATTAAGGAGGTAAGCTAGTGAAAAACGGAGACTAAAGATCAGAGGAATGGAAATAAATAAATATACATAACGAAAGAAGTGAATGGATGGAGACGAAAAGAAAGATATAGAGTGACAAGGTCGTTGGCTGAATGTCGAGAGACAATGAATGACAGAATGGAAAGCAGGTAGGGATTTGAAGGTGTGAAACTGCGATGCGTTAAAATTCATTATGGATAGATAGAGCAAAAGAAAGATAAAAGAGAAGCCGAAGTATACAAGATGTGCGCAGCCATCATTCCCTTTTCACGTATGACATTAAAACCATATTTCGATAAGATTTACGTCAAATATATAGACATGGAGATACACACGGTGGAACTCAGGATTAATGTTTTAAATCAGTGTGTGGAATAATGGATAACTGGAGGCACGATGGAATAATGGACAGCGGCTAGGATTGAGGAATCAGAGAGCCAAGTTCGAATTCCAGTCGAATCCATTACATTCATTTACGTGCTATGGTAAATATCAGTACAGACCAGGTTCTATAACTTTGGATGGCAACTGGTCTACTGAAAGAAATGGCAACCTACGGCGAGAAAAAAAATCTGCCTCGTCAGTTATGTATCGAAAGATACACGATCGCCTAAGCGTGTATCACGCATGGCACATAACTGACTAATTGCTAAAAGTCTTTCTGGTTCTGGCTTCTATTACGGCTATATCTTGGTTTCAGGTTTCTTGATTCTATAGACGTTTAGAACTGTAAATTCTACTTTAGGTCAATGTCGGTTTCTTTCTTGAATTTCTTTTTTCTCTTCTTTCCTTTTTCGTCAGGCTTCTTATTGGTAGGGTTGATTTTAGCATTTTCCTTTCACCAATTACTTTTATATACAGTGTAACCCGGATATAAGAGAGTTGTCGGGACCGGAGAAGAAGTCTCTTATATCCGGGTTTAGTCTATTTTATATACATTAACACAGGCTCTAATCTGGGACAAGAGAAAATCACTCTTATATCCGGGTTTCTCTTATATCCGGGTCTCTTATATCCGAGTTACTATATATATATATATATATATATATATATATATATATATATATATATATGTGTGTGTGTGTGTGTGTAAATTACAATTAATAAGATTCAAACAATTTACTCATACAGATGATCATTTCGTCCATGGTTTTTCCCTGGACTTATCAATGCAAATCGATTTACTAAAATTTAGTAAATCTAAATTTTTTATTAATTGTAATTCACTTAGGATCTACTTGGATTATTTACCCACGGATTTTTTTTACACACACACACACACACACACACACACACACACACACACACACACACACATATATATATATATATATATATATATATATATACATACATGTTATATTATATATATATATATATATATAATATAATATAGCACATGAGTGCTGGTGCTAATAAAATACTGCTCAATAGTGATAACAGAGCTATAATTCATATTAATAATAAATATACATTTTTCCTCACCGGTAGCATAACACAGAGTTTTTTACAAAATTCATACTCATTCAGCACCTAGCGATTGTAATGTGCATGAAACTCAGAGTTGTGCTACTGGTGAGGATAAACGTATATTTATAATTATTAACATATATATTAAGAATAAATATACATTTTTTCCACATCGGCAGTACAACTCTAAGTTTCATGCAAAACGCAATCGTCAGGTAGTGATTGAAAACTAAACGTTGCATAATATATATATATATATATATATATATATATATATATATAGATAGATAGATAGATAGATAGATAGATATAGATATATAATTAGCTCCAGCACTCAATGGCCAGTATTTCAAAAACATTCTGATATTTGATGATATGATTAGGACAATAAATTTTCAGCACCCTCCGTATTTCTCACACTCCTTCTCAGTCTCTCTATGTTTCTATCTCTATATATATATATATATATATATATATATATATATATATATATATATATATATATATATATATATATATATATATATATATATATATATAATGCTAATTTCTTAAAGCTAACTTATGAAGTTTCTATTGATGTTTGGGGAAAATTTTATAGCGGCGCCTGTCGTATATCCAATATTTGCGAGCTACACTTACACGCCATTATTTATGGATCCTAAGTCGTTCACAACTGTGAACTTGTGCCAGGCTAGGTTAATTTTAGTAAATCTCAACATTTAGCCGGCTATTCTCATTTTAACCGTGATGTTGGTGTTCACCCGAAAGATAGTTTTACTTGACCGTATTTTTCAATCGTTCTGCAAGCGCCAATGTCCTAGAATCGATGCGAAGTAGACGATTGGGCGTTTGTCTCTTTTTAAGACGGGAATTCTTTACGGTTTGGCGCCAATCGAATTAACGGACGATCAAGGCCGGTGCCTGGGGAATAGAAATGCATTAGAATAAACTAAACGGAAACGGAGAATAGGAAAAGAGGAGATTATGGGGGAAAATAAAAAGCATGTAAGATATGTGAAGGAAAAGAAGAGAAAAGGAACTATTTAAAAAGAGAGAAAGAAAGAAAGAAAGAAAGAAAGAAAGAAAGAAAGAAAGAAAGAAAGAAAGAAAATAAACAAAGAACGTACTTAAAAAAGAAGAAAGTGTGGTGTTAAAAAATGAAAAGACGGTAGATAAAGAAAGAAGAAGAAGAAAGAAGGTAGATAAAGAGAAGGAAAAAGAAAGAAAGAAGCTAGCGAAAGAAAGAAGGTAAAAAGAAAGAAAGAAATTGGGAAAAGAATGACTGAAAAAATGAGAGAAATGAAACAAGCTATGTTTTCTCAAAAAACAATAGAGTGGGAAATGTTTTAAAAGAAAGAAAGAAAGAAAGAAAGAAAGAAAGAAAGAAAGAAAAAAAAAAAAGAAAGAAAGAAAAAAATTAAAAGTTAAAAAAATTGATGAAACATAGTGAGAAAGGGGGTGTTTAAAAAAAGAAGAAACGAAAAGATAATGGACGTGAACAGAAAGAAAGAAAGAAAGAAAATTAGAAAAGAATAAAAATAGAAATGAATAAAAAAAGGAGAAAAAATGTAACAAAAAAGATGAAGAAAGAAAGAAGGAAAGAAAGAAATGATATCAAAAGGTGACAAAGAAAAATAGAGGAAAATGTAAAGAAATAAAGATAGAAGTTATATGAATGAATAAACCGATATTTAAAAAAGGAGAAAGAAAACAGAACTGAAGGAAGAAAACGAAATGATGAAAATAAATAAATAAACTAATTATAAAAAGAGTGCAAAGGGCAAGGAAGCTGAAAAAGTTAGACGGAAAATTAAAATGGTAACATTAAGTTAGGAAAGGCTACGATTAATTAAAATTGATTGTTGAGTGTTAACCCCTAAAAATATTTGTAAGTTTAAAATCGTTAATCTGATGTTCCCCTAGCAACATAAAATCAAGCAATCGCGATTTGGAACTTCCTGGTAAAACTCCACCCTTCATAAATTTCCCCAAAATGGTGCATAGGTGAAAAATAACATAAAACTAGCATCTACATTGCCAGTCAGATGCAACAAAGTATCGGACTTTCTCCATTGAGCTCTTTGAGTGTTGAGGGGAGAGTTGAAAATGAGTCCAGAATTTATCTAGATTTTAATATTTTCAAAGTATCCAAGGAAGACAATGAAGCGAATGAGATTTCGAATCACACACCAGCTGCTGCATTCTCAGGCCTGCAGGATTCCATGTTTAGATGTTCACAAGAGAACATTTCTATTTCTTAGATCCACCAGTTCAGGCCTTTACAGCTGAGAGGTGACATGTCACGTGCACAGGATCGAATCATCCTTATTCCCTTCGTAGGCCAGTAGATAAGAAGGAAGTTCCATCAAGCCAGTGTCTTCCTGAGAACCGTTACTGTTTGGAATCGACTCCCAAGAAGATGCTTCCCCGATCACTAAAAAACTTAGTCAACCTTTGTCTATCCTACATATCCTCATGATTTTCACTTACCTCTTCCTTTTACGACCATACAAAAACTTTACTCACTAACCGTCTAATTTAAGTAGTTCTCGTGTCTTGTATGGAATGAACATTAAAATAAACAAAAACAGTATAAGGAATGGTTTATAATGTCAATATGAAAGTACCATCAATACATTCTTGAAAAAAATATATATTACCAGCAATACATTTGACTCACGACAAAAACTCTCTTTACAAAAATGCGTCAATGAAATCCGATATACAAATTGATTTCTTACAAAGAATACATTCATACGAACCTATCCTAAAAAATCTTGTCGGCATTAAATAACCCATTGAGGTTGATATGCCGTAAAACAAAATAAACCAAACCAATCTAGACCAAAGAATACATATTCTATTCATACGAACCTATCCTAAAAAAATCTTGACATTAAATAACCCATTGAGGTGTTGATATACCGTAAAACAAAATAAACCAAACCAAACTTCAAATCATGAATGCATAACGACCGTGTCGTTGGAAAAAGTTTAATTCAACATGAAACATCAAAGGATA